TGTAGGGCGTGGGATATTTGCACGTAGTCAGTTGTTCTACTTCTTTTGACTTGAGGAACATTTAAGGTTACTCCATAAGCATAAAACTGGGACTGGGATCCGGCTTAATGTTACTCTTAACTTCCGGCTTGATTCAGTGTTAAAAATGGCAAGCTTAAGACTACCATGCTATGTTTCCTGGGTGATTATGCTCACATGTCTAACAACTAATGTAAACAAGAGAGACAGTAAGATAAAAATGGCGATTTTGGCTTTTGAAGTAACATAATTTTAGGTGACCGTGAACTTAGATGTTTGTCAGTTTTTGTACGTACAATGTTCGTGGGAGTGTGATGATGGTTGTGCATTTGGTAAACACAACATTTCTCATGATTTCTGTTTCTCCTTATTCCATGTGTAGTCTCTTATTCAACTCTCAGCAGTGTAATAGTGGTATAACAGAGTAACAGAACTTGACCTAAGTCTTATGAATTTGTCTCAATCCCTACTTCAGATTTTCGTGTGGATTTTCACTATAACGGTACGGCGTCGCTCAAGAACTGCAATAGCTCATTTATGTGAACACCTTTATTCGTCAATATGACGCTTAGAAAAACAAAGATTTACAGTGGAGCGTCTTTGTTTTTAATAACACATTAGAGTTTCGATGACTTAGCAATTATATAATGTGTTTATGAAGGGTTGTAGATCCACTTTTTGTTGCAAATTGCGTTCAGGTACAAAACAGTCAAAACCATCGATCTTGTAACGTGTCTAGTAGTTTACCGTGAATATTTTGTACTACAGTTCACTGTTTCTCAAGGTTCGTTTATAGCCAAAACGAAGCGAAGTAGACAAAACTAAAAAGACTTTAATATTAAGGACGCCACGAATTGTCTCGGATCGAGAAGGAACTAATCAAAACATCGCATCTTTTTATAAGCACCTATCTAAAAATAAGCATTTTAATTATTTTTTCACCGATGTTTTTACTTTGTTAAATTGTATGATTTATCTGTTGTCATTGTTAGTCAAAGCGAATAAAAATTTCTTTGTTTTCACACGCTCGATGGGTTGAATTCGACCCCCTGTCTGCATTGCTCAACAAAAAGTAATAACTATACCAATCATGCCCCAACGCGAGTACTCTCTGCTGCTGCTCACTTCACAGCCACTTGAACAAATCCCATCACTTAACGAGTTTACGTCGCTTCTAGATGCTAATCAGTGCAACAATGCCAAATTTACAAGTGTGGTTTGATGAGATGCTTATCTTTATTACCGCAAAACCGTGACACGTCGTTGCAGGTTTAATGTTTTTGCCATCAATTGAGAATGTAGTCTGGCGACGCGATGCCTTGTCTCCTAGAATCTGGGAATCCGTTTCTAAATTTTCATTTTCAGGCTTTTAACGAACAAAAATAGGAAATAGAGTAGTCGTTCCCCACGGTGTTTGTGTTCTGTTTGTTGTTCGTCGCTTTTCGCAAATAAAAACTCAGGATTTTGGACATTAAGGCCTGACACAGTAATTGGCTAAGGTCACGAAAGTTTTCTCTCTTAACCCAAATCTTTTCGTGAGATGAGTCGCCCTCCTCTGGGCCTTTTCGGTGGCCGTATTCTTGATGTTTACATGTGCCGTTGTTAGTGGCTCCACCTTCCCAGCGACCTACACAGTGCTGCCGCAGTTAATCTTAAATCAAGCGTGGTTTCTCGGAGGGTACACAGCGGGGCGCAGAGCCATTTCAAAAGGTCTATCACAAAGGCTATTTTGAAACCTTCTAGGGCCGTGATTAGCTATTGTAGTCCGCAGTCGGACGTAGAACGTTTAAATATTACATCTAAAAATCAATCGTGGGATACCAGCTAACTCCTCCGGAACATCTTACTAAGTAGAAGTGCTTGTGCAGTTGCAGTTGCAGACCAGTTAACCTCTTAACGTATTCTTCCGGTTGTTTGTCGGTTTTTAATTTCACCACGCCACTCTACTAAATATTCTCTTAAGAGTTTTGAAATTCAATTACATCTCCCCCGGTACAGACAAAAGTATTTTGTTAAGCGCTCAGCGAGAATTACATAAATCCGTGGTGCGTCGGTCACATTAAAATTATTTATTAAAATTTGCAATTTTTGCCCGTCAGTCAACTTAAAACTGTTCTTTTGTTCTTGAAACCCAACAAGAAAAATGTTTTTATCTTTGTCATGAATAGGTACCTCTTTGCCTAGCGTCCCTCTGTCATTTCTGTCTTTTCTTCCAAAAATGAGGAAAAAGTTGGCTAAAAGAGGGAGAAATAACACAAAACATTACCTCAAACCCATCTAAGAACATGGATTCATCTTGTTTTGTGTGACCTGCACTGTTTTTGGTGCACTACGCGAGCGTACGCGCCGCGTGTTAGCGAACACTTTTTTCACAGTTTTTTCAAACGGCAAGCGGTCCAAAATTGACTTTTAAGAAAATGGTAAAATTTATCACGCAAAGATGGCTGCCACCTCACTCAGAATCAGCGCCAAAGCTTCTAAAAGACATTGTCATACTTTATCTTGTGTTCTCAATAAGCCGGGTACAAATTGGCTTCAGGGAAAGTACGTTTTCTGTTTTCTCGCCTAGGATACTGTAAAGCGATCGAGAGGCTGCCAGCTGGACTCGTTATCCTGCTTCTTCTATAGACAAGCAAATAACAAGGTCCACATAGCAGCTTACAGTTGGAGGATTAAGTTTTGAATTCGAGTTACCTAGGCCATCATTGAGATCTCACTATCTTATGTCTGTAAAATCTTTTTAACTCCTTAACTCGTAGAAGCGGCCACGAGTAAATTTTAAAAGAAATATCTGAATGTCATTTTGCAAATCCTAGAAAACAAATATGATTTAGTTGTAGTTCTATTCAGGTTTCATTTGAATGGGGACAGCATTGTTTTTTTTACAAACTATATACGTACATATCTTCATGGTCGACTCTGGGACTAAGAGGGATATAACATGATAAAAGAGAGTATGCCAGTCACACACAAACTTTATATGGATTGACATTAAACTTAAACAGTATTAAAGTATGTTCCCTATTCGTTTTGAGATGTGTTACCAAGTTCTATCTCCGTCCGTGTGTGTACTTTTTAAGTGATATATTCATCTTGACAAAGATACAATGCAAGTGTATTTACAATATGAAGCTGATGATTGTACTCAAGATTCCGAGTCAATAAGTACTTCGTTTCAGTTTTATTTACCTTCTGTTTTTGTCGCAAACCGTAGAAAAATGCTTCAATCGGAGGCAATTTTGCGATGGGAATCAACAAAAAATCTTGAAGGAGGCACTAACCCTCGCTGGGATCTTTTTTAACAGAAGTACAATCTCGCAGCTGTCCATCTCCCACTCGTTTCTCTGAATTGAGTCGATTTTGTTTGAGATTTATTTCGCGTAGAGTTAACTTGCATCTAAAGAAATAGTTTTTAGAAAGGTCTTGTACGCATCTCATTGTGTTATTTTCTTGTTCTGTATAGCTCAGTATATTTAGTTAAACCTGCAAGATAAAGCCTTTGAAAACATAATTGGTATTTCACTGGAAAATGTATTCAGGCTTTGCGGAAAGTAAAGGCAATTTCGGCAAGGTGATAAGACGAGAAATTGACCTACGATTTTCGTAAAATCGCAAAGTCTTTTTTTTTAATTGGCCGTAAATTTAAACGGGGCTTTGTTACGCTTGAAAGCCGCTTGGACAACTGAAATCTGTTGGAAGATTAGCCTTGTTGGTGACAAATTACTAGACGTTGTATTTCTTGAACTTCACCGAGACTCGTAATCGTCAAAGGTAAAGGTTTGCGTCTTGATTATGCTCTGTTATTTGGGGTAATTTTTAGAGCAGAATATCATTGTGGAAGAAAATAATAAAAGGAAGGCCAAGGTGCCCTTACATGTTTAATTAATACCGGTCTAACTTTTCACTCATTATCTTCCCTTCCTCCCTAAACAATCATCATTTTAAGATGAAAGAAAGATACGAGATCTTGTTAATACGGAAGCCAGATAAAAATTGTAAATAGCTATTTTGTCGATAAACGGAATTTTATTTTTCTAAGTTAGGAAAATAAATTAAAAGGTTTTGTTTTAGTTCCTTAATGGAAATCATCGTAGAATACAAACTGTCTTGATAGCTTTAAGCGTGCACTCGTTATTGTGGCAGCTGAGCAAGTGTGAACATACCCTCGTTATTTTGTCCTGGTTCAAGCCAGCTGAAGTTGAGAGACTTTTCTCTAACAAATTTGAGATTTGTTAAGGTGTTTGGCATTTGAGGTAGTTTTTTTTTGGCCACAATTTCCGTGACACTAGGTGAAAAGTTTACTGTTAGTGGCAACCGGTGATAACAGCATGGCCTCCAAATGTTTGTAATTGGTGTGAGCTGTCTCACGAAACGTGACTTCTCGCGAAAAATCAAATATCTGTCTGAGTTCTTCTTTCCGCATTACTCTTTATTTCAAATAAAAAGTTCCTATTACTTCGTATTGTATTTTGTGCAGGAACTGTCAATAAGGTCGCAAAATAATTAACGATTTGCATGTGGTGCTCAATGGTTGTTTTGTCTTTTTCCTTCAACTTGATTTACAGATATTTTGCGCTCACTACATTGAACGTTTTAAACCAGTGGTTTATCGACTTTCAGTCTCTACATTCTCGATTTAATGTCTTTAATGTACGGTAAGAGAAACGTATTTACAAGAATAATACAGCACCTGTACGGCAACAAAATTCAAGGAGAGAGAAAACACTTCATATGCACTCCCTCTTTATCGTCTTATTTTGAAATTAAAAAGTGCTTCCTTAATTTACTACTGTGTAAATCGTTCAGAACGAAAGCTAAATCGTATTATTTATTTCACTTCACTGGCTAAATCGATCTTTATCTGTGTGGAAATATTCTATAAGGATTCTAAGTATGTGAACTTCTTTAGTAAAACATGGTTCTTGCAAGTCAACAAATGTAATAAATCCGCCATTTCAAGTAGTCTAAAAAGCCGTTGAAAACTAACAAGAGTACCATTCTGTGCTGTTCTCAGTGTTCGATCGCCCTCTTGGAGAAGGCGTTCTAGCGGAAGGTTTTATAGGACTGTCCCTGTCTGAACTTATACTATCCCGCTGCCCGTTTGTTTGAGAAATAGGCGGCGACAATGGCCTGAGTCCACCGGTCTCGTGAAGTTTCATGTGTTTTCTTAGTGAGCTGGGATGTGTGTAACTCTTATTGCACCCTTCGATTTTGCAGATGTACGGTTTGTCTGAGGTATGCACGTGAGAGTGCTTTTTCCGGTCGCTCGAGTTGGCGAAGCGACGATCGCAGCCAGGGAACTCACACTCGAATGGCTTCTCACCCGTGTGAGTTCTCTTGTGAATCTTTAGGTTTTCAGACCTAGCAAACAGTTTCCCGCAGCCGTGAAAGGGGCAAGGGAAAGGTTTCTCTCCAGTATGGACTCGAATATGATTGACCAGCTTGTATTTTGCTTTGAAGGGTAGTCCGCTTCTCACGCACTCTTGCCAGTAGCAAACGTGGAGGTTGGAATCATTGATACTTACATGCTCGTCCGAGATATGCGACACTAGATCTGGCATCATGGTGAACTGCTTACCGCAAGGCTTCCGTTTTCCTTGCACTGGGTTCTGGTCTACCCAAAGACAGGTAAGTATTTGGTTTGTGGGCTGTTTTATTAGAGGAAGGTGATACATTCCGGGTCCTCCTGGCCCTCCATAACCTGGAGGTCCATGATCCAAGAAAGGGCTTCCGAGACCGCCTTGTGCAAAGCGATCTGTTCGCGAATAAAAGTCTCCGCGGTACCTGAGCTGATTGTTGAGAACCGGAGGCATTCCATGATGTGGAGATGTTACCTCGTGCCCCGGCGTAAGAGCTCCGTAGTGTATATGCGGATTGCTCGTGACATCTAAGCCTTTATGCGTCACTGCGTGATGGTAGTTTATGTTGTTTCCGTGAATTGGAGCGGTTGGTGGCGAACTGAACATGTTGTGCCTATGTGAGTAATTGGGCGTGTTGGAAGCGATGGGGTCGTGAAGAGCCAACGAGTGAGAACTCGCTATGTTAGCAGAGCCTAAGTGCGAGTCCTGGTGATGGATAAACTCGTGAGGTGGGAAGCCTTGAGCAGAAACATGACGATACGCAGGAAACGAATGGTATAGAGTCTGCTGCGACGACATCCCAGGCGGTTTTTGATCGAAAGCGACAGCTTCGGCTTGTGCTCTGTGCGCTGCTGCAAATCTGATCGACGAAAGATGGCTTCCTGAGTCAAGCAAATGATTCATTCCTAACGGCGAGTCTTTCTTGTGCTCGTGAAGTCCAGCGGTCGAGTTTGTTGGCAAGTTGTTCGCGGACGAGGACCTTAGAGCTGCACCCTCAAATGGCAATGAATACCGCTTGGCAAAACTGCCATCCATTTTAAGGCTTCCCCGGGTTTTGAATATGGATCAACTCTTGGACAGTGTAAATAATAACGAGGCAAACTATTATTAAAGAGAGACTACGCGAAAGTTTTGAGTGCAGTAGCATATGTTACACCGTTAAAACCCAGCGTGAGACTCAACGGACAATTGTCCTGCCAAGAAAGCACGCATGAGCAGTAAAGTGATCCCGGTGAATATTATGATTAGTCGTCTCCCGCAGGGCTGTGGTTATGTTCCTAATTGTTTGATAGCTTCTGAAAACAACACTATATTTGGCATTCCTTTTCTTATTGACTAACCCCGAGCATGAACGATTTCTTTTAGCTTCGAGGCTTTGATCGCATCCAAGATTACGTTCACTTTATCGGAAGCGGCCTGCGTACTTTCTCTGAGAATCTTGCGCCTGTCCACTTTGCTATTTCTCTAAAGTATCGCGAGGAGAGTTCATGTTGTCGTTTAGTAACAGCTACGTTGCAGGTGAGGTTGCGGTGATAGACATATAGGGAGGGACACAATTTGAAAAGCACAGCGGGAAAGAATAAACACCTTGCAGCGATGTCACTCAACGTAGTTACACTTGACGTTGTCGAAGAAAGTTCCCCTCGAAAAAGACTAAGGCCACCCCGAAATTCGCGTTACTTGGCACTTTTGCTCGTGACATAATGGGAAATCTTCGATGGTTAAACGTTTTAAAAGCAAACACCCTGACACTTCATCTTCAGTGTTTGTCCCAATAAATTTATTAACACCCCGAGAGGCGCAATAGTATTGACAGTAATCGCCAGGAGTCACTATAGTTTGCCTCAGTTTTGCGACCGACATAGGATTTTCGCCAATTCATCATTCAATTGTCCGTGGAGTACTTAGGCGGGCCATAGGGATGGGCCGTACTTCGTGGTACATTACGATAGTTTTTCTCTTTAACGTAGGCGCTAAAGCGAATAACCGCTACAAAAAGTGATTGAAGATGATATCAGATGTTATCTCTCAGGCCTTCTTGCTTGGAATAATGAATCAATAAAGATGTTAAGTGGTCCCCATCGCCTACTATTAAACAGGACCTTCTATAGAAAGGGTAAAACACTGCATTTCATTTGGCTAAGTTTAATTAAGGTCCGCATTGAAGTGACTACCACTGCTAAGTATAATTCATACACGGCACGCCATTGTCCACTGCACTGTGAACTGGGGGTGTTGTAAGAGTGTTTATAGATCACGCGAAGAAGATGAAAAAGTCTCTATAAATTAGTTCACGGCACGCGAGGGCACCCTTCTCCCTCTCCTATAATTGAATGTATTCACCGGGCACTGTCGGCCTAATTTCCGTGGTTTTTCGAACCTAGCAGTAGACCCAGACAAGCTGCACACCTTCAACTTAGAAAAAAAGACAATTTCCACTCTACCCCGCCATGAAGGAGGCAATTACTACCGTGGCTTATTGAATTTTAAGTGCCAATTCACAATTTGACTCTATTCCTCGGTGAATGGTTATGCATTGGAAATTGACAGGAAAAACGAAAAGCCATTACAGAAGGTAGATAGCAAGACTTGCAGCCGCTTCCCAAAATTACTTCTTGAAAATATAAACAAATGAAGGGCACGTTTCACCCTTGAAGCTATTTTGCCGCCACATTACATCTTGGATGAAATAAACCTGCTCATTTTCTTTGTAATCATAACTTAAACCGGTAACCTTACGTGATCAAACGATATTTTATTTTTTTATTTTTCTGTACTCATTAAATATTGTGATATCAATCAACTTCGAGTAAAAGAACATTACAGGCCCGTGAGGGTTTTTGTGTGAAATATGTGACTTAGAACATGCCTTTCCACTTGGTTTGGCTATTATCTATCGGTAGATAGTGGTGAATTGTTAAGTTCGATTCTTTCCAGAGTGTTGTTATCTTTTACAAGTCTTACTTCTTTTTGTCAACTATGAGAACGGATGTCTACACCTGCTTGTGTTTACATCAAGCAATATTACTCAGCTGTCTCAATTATTTTCCTCACTTCTATGAAATAAATCAAACAGATAATTGTCCCTGTCGTATCAGAAATTTGATTGGCCCGACAAATAACAAGTTTCGTAATTTTTTCTTGGATAAGTCACTTCGTCCCTCTCGCTATCTTGTTCCTGTCTTAAGTTGAGGTAAAATTAATCCAGGGAACTTTGGTAACAGTTTTCATACATGTCTCTCTATTGGCAACGTATTCAGTTATGTATCCGGTTAGTACGCCCTCCATCTGAGAAGTTAAGAGTTTTTTAATAAACTTCACCCTAGTAAAACTTTTTTAATCATACCGTAACAGCCGTAAAATAAGAAATTAAAAACAGGGCTCACGTCGACTTTACAAGGAAACCATCTTCTTGGTTAAAGTGGCCACAAATCCTTGCAAAATCGTTTCCTTAAATTTGTTTCCAACGGATCGAAATCGTAAGGTACGAAGAGAGCTATATTTAATAAAACTTCAGCATTGGACAGTTTAGGAATAAAATCCTCAATTGGACGTAAACCCGGTCATTTTTTAATCCTTTATTTGCATACGTAGTACCTTATTTCTCGAATATAAAATGGCACATGGTTAGGTTTACATAAGCACGCTGTTGTAGCTCGCCTGCAGCTAAAAAACCTTATTAACAGAAGTTGCCTTTGAAAAAATCATGGCCCAAACATTGCAATTATATAAGACCCAGGTAGATCACTTTGTCTAACATATTTAATTTCCTCTGACTTTAAAAGCCGATCTCGGAAATGAAATTACAGGCGACATAGAGTTGATGTATTACTAACCTTTCCCTTTCTTTAAACTTTCTCAAATAGCGAACGCAGTTCGTTGGTGTTCGCTGATCATTGTTATAGTAGGTAATATGCTTTATCGGTTAAAGCAAACAAGCACGCTTCTATTGCTTTTCCCACCTTGTTACTTTGTAATCTTGGTTTAGATACGAACTTAAACTTAAGGTCATATAACAGTCCTTAGGTTATGACATGTTTGATCAACGCTGCGTTATTAAAACAGCTACATGCTGAATGTTTGCATTTAGACAGGAGTACATTAATCTCTACTTTTTGATTTATTTTCTTCTTGAAAATACGATAAAACAGGACCAAAAATTGCCTATATGTACTAATATGTAGATAAAGAGTCGTCGGTTGGTAATCAGTTCTCATCCCATACTTGATCTTCGCTCCAGCGAATCTGTCATGTTTCCATTAAAGTTAAAATTACCTAAATAAAGGTGCACCCATTCTTCCATACATGAAAATTTGTAATTTTTGTTTTAAACTGGGTGTAAAATATCGTTCGTTAGAGAGTTAGAAGCTTTAAGGTAAATCCTATTTTCAGAACTGCGGCATAGTTTAATTAAAAGTATTTTCGGGCCGCAGAAAACTTGCTAACCAGTGTGACAATCTGATTGCTTCTCCATGAATTTTTAATGTTAGAGTGTTCATTTCTAACCACAAATTATACCTACACTAAAAGTCAATTCGTCGTCGCTTCACTGTCTGTTCTCATCGCAACGGGCAACCCTTTATAGACACTTTATAGCAACCGTCGCGGTCATGTATGAAAGAAAGTTTGTGTGCGAAGTTCTTGCTAACAATCGCTGCTGTAAGAGCTTACATAACATCGACACGAACCCTATTGTGACCACACGTCACTGTCTCACCAAGACGCCGTAAATATCACTCGTAAATGTGGGCTTTAGATGCATGAGTATAGAACGAAAAAGGAACAAATGGCTTTAACTCAATCTTGACCGAACTTTAATTTTCACCCCACGTATCCAACCTCACTAGTTTCTTTTTAAGTTCAATTAAAACTTTAAATGCGAAAAATGTTAGAAATCCTGCTTTTGATATTTTTCTCTGCAGGAGTTTTAAAGGTCGGTTTTCTGAATTAGTTAGGTGAATTCTTGAACGATTGTTTATGTAAACATAACTTCCAGCATAGTTTCGTCGTGGGCGACAAATGCGGTTTTTAAGTGTTATTTTTCTACGGCTGTAGGTATGTATATTCATCCCGAAGAAAGGTTTTTTTCTATGTCTTCTTTGAATACATTTATCCCACCCAAAGGGATCTGTTAGCTAAGTCACAATTTTATATAAAAGCAAAAAGCATTTCCTAATGTCGTCAGATCCAGTCTCAGTGAGCGCGCAACGATGTAACAGGCGATGACTTATTTGCAAGCTGTCTTCCAAGAGAATACCGGTCAAAAACAACCGGAAACTGGTTGTAAATTATCCACTTCCGAGCATTTCCTTTGGGTTCGACCGTGCTTACGTTCACGCTCGTTCAGTGCAGTGGGCCCATTAACAACAGATAAAAATAGGAGACTAAAATAATTTGGATACAATTCATCGACAAATTGAGCCGTTTTTTAAGCGTTTTGCATGAGTTGTTCCTTTGTTGCGACATCCGTGGCACCTGTACCCGGAATGATCAGTCGTGGAGCTAACTGTCAAATTCGCTGATGATTTGCCCTCGAGCTAATGCACGCATGCAGGCGTCGTCCGCTATTGGATAACAACCTTCAACATTTTCAACACAATTTCGGCTCATCAAAGTCCCTTTTACCCAATACCTTTTAATTAATCTTCCTCAAAAAGTGCATTTCTGAAGTGACAGGCTCACAGCCAAGCAACGCAACCATTTTAAAGAAGCGACAGCCATTTGTAAATAGCCAAAAAAAAAAAAAAGCCTGTATAGTAACCATAACACAGACATAATTGTCGGTGACGGCAAATAACCCTTGACGGATGCAAAAGTGTATTCATTCCAAGGACAATTATCGAGAACAGTTAAAATATTCATAGCCTCTTGGTTGAATAAAAGTTTATTGACCGAGGTATTTTTTCTTGTTTTGTCTTATTTTGTTTTAAAAAAGAATAAAAAGCGCTGAATTTATTGTCAATAACAGGCTGCAGTGTTTCCTTATTATTGGCTCAAAGCAAACCACAAAGGATTCGTGGCTTTCTCTACCAAGG